CAGGAATTGGAGCATGTGCAGATGGAAAAAGAGTCATTTTTAATAACACTGTCACAAAGTTTAGGTTTGGCTAGTAGCCTGCAGTTTGGCCCAGCAAAACAAATCACCTCCTCAGACTGTACTAATGAAATGTGAAGAGAATTGTGTTTGTAGGGAACTTGAGGTGCTCAGCGTGAGAAACTCAAAAAAAAAAAAAAAAAAAAGGGAGCCGATTAGGAAGCTTTTAGGAAGCTTTCAGTCAAAATACGTAATGTGAAGTGAGGGGAGGTCTAATCTCTAATATAAGGTCAGATTGTATGAGGCTCACAGAAGCAAAGGCATGAGGGAAAGATTGTCAGAAGAACCTGCTTGGCATCAGAGGGGGAAATGGAGCATGCCAGCCTTCAGAATAGAGGCAGAATGGAGCATTTAGACAGAGGCCATGGGGGAAAACCAAACAAATCACAAACCTATAAGAACATTCAAAAGGAAAATAAATCGGAAGATGCAAGAGGATAGCTGCAGGATGCAATCAGAACAAGTCTGCAAGAAGTAAGCGTGAAAATGTGCACAATACGCAGAAGAAAACAGAGACCTAACCAACTTCTAACATCTCTTTTGGACTTCATAAACGGTAAACAATTTTGAAAAAGAAATTGTTAAAAAAAGACCAAGATAATTCACAAGAAAAGAAGGATTCAGAGACCACGCAGTGAAAATAAGCTTATCTTTAGGAATGGATAAGGACATAGTTTCCTCCAGTGACTGGAATATCATATGTAGACATTTCCCAAATATTTACAGGTTGAACACTGACATGCTTATTAATGGGTCCTCTGACACTGCAGTAAAGTATCTGAAAGAAAAATCTAAGCTTATTAAGCTCAGATGGATAAGAGCCAGGCCAGCCACTATTTCTGCTTGTTTTCGCAAGCTAGATGTAAAGGCAATCTTGAAAAGACAGTTGGAATTGTTTTGGGAAGAGAGGTGTCAAATCTAGGACTCAACATGCCAGATAGGAGGCTTCACCAAAGGAAACAGGGCTGCAGAAGAACACAAACAGCTGGAAAAAGTTGTTCCAGAGCAGTGAAAGCCTGACTCGTATGGATCTGTTTTCTGCAGCCCCCTAGCTGAGGGCCCCGCGTCCCCCATCACTGCCACAACTACACATGGATTCTGGGATTGTCATTCCCTTGATTCAGAAATAGCGTTGTTAAGTAATGCAACTGTTGAACACATCATGCCAAAAACAATATCTATATTTTCTGCACCTGCCACCAATACAGCAGTAGTGTGATGTTATAGGGCTCAGTTTCATTTTTAGGAGTTTCAGTGTTTTGGAAAACAACATTCTATTCAGCATATTCCATCAAGTATTAGGTTACTACAGTCTGTAGTACATTCTACAGTCTGTAGTCTGCAGTTTATTACAGTCTGTAATAAATTCTGCTAAAAATTTTTAAAGGATTCTTAAAAAGGCTGAAAAGTCAAATCTGGCACCACTGAATTAAAAGAAAGCCTGAAAATTTGCTGAGTTGTTCCATAACAGAAAGCTCAGAACAGCTGAATGAATATGCAACCAGTGATGTTAAAACCAGGAACACTGGGAAGGCCTAAGATCGCCACAAGAAAATCAATAAGAAATATATTATGATGAAAAGGTCACTTGAGATTGCCCAACCTCTCCAGTAATTTCTTCAGTAATTGCCTCACAGGAAACAGCAGCAGCGTTGTAAGAATTGATTGCATTTTGCACACATATAAATAATATATTTCTCATTCATGCTTAGATGTACTATATTTTTCTATGCCTGAAAAGATGTTAGAATACACCATCGCCTTTGCTTCTTCTTCCTTCTCTCACACAAGCAGAAGACAATTCATTTTGTGAGTGCAAGTGATTGGATATTTGTCTAAAACATTGCAAGCTCTTGCTCAGGGACTCTTCAGCAGATGCCTGGTCCTCCAGCAGAGCCCTTTCCCTTTGGTCCCCTGCAACTGCTGCACACCTGCAAATCTCTCCACAGAGGCACGCTGGCACACGTTGTACAGATTAAACTGCTTCCTAAATTTCTCCCAACAGATAACGTATTTGAAAGGTGGCTTTGAAAGCCACTAGTGAAGATGCCACCTAACCATTTTCTTTCATGCTGAACTTTCCTTCCTATCCTTCAACAAAACAAAGTCTCCAAAGCATGCAGGCTCAAGGGCAAGCCCACCCCAACAGCCACCTATCTGCTTCTGGCTTTGCTGTGAGAGAAAACAACAAACCAAAGAAATCAGTTTGGCTACTCACCGAGTCCCTCACACAGACCTTTTCCATCACCATCTTAGAGACCCTGAAGTTGCTGGTCCTACGCGTCTGAGTCAGACATCATTTAACTCTCTCTCATCAGGGTAGAGAACTCCTAAAATACATACTTTTTCAGGAAAAAAAAAATCCATAAATCTGCCAGATCCACACTTAATGCCTACCTACAATTCTACATGTTGCTGCCTGTTTGCCAGCATTTCTGTTCTAAAAGGATGTTCCGGAGTGCTTTTTTTCAAAGTTTCAGCACTTTAGGATGCACACAAGTGCTCCAGAGTTAGCAGGAAGTTCAGATGTGCAAGAAGTTTTAGCAGAACAAGTACTTTAGCAGAATAAGTACTTTAGTACCTTAGTACTTTTGGTACTTTAGTATTTTTAGCACTTTAGTACTTTTAGCACGAACAAGTACTTTTCTCTTTTATCAGTGGTGTCTACTCTCAATCCTTCACCTACTAAGAATATTCTCAAATCTCTTACCATGGAAAGGCCTGCTTAGGCTATAGGTCTATTATCATATTATCCCAGTCAAAGTCTATGCTGCAGCCTCCCCTCTTCATCATCAGCATTGGCACAAGCACTTGGGTGGCAAGGCAAAGCTGGGAACTGTTCTTCCTGAACACCATTTTTGTTTGTTCGTTTGTTTTGGACTAACTCAATTTTCAACTAGATGAGTGCCCTGGATCTGATCCTCCCCACCCCGGGACAGTCATGAGCACTGGCATAGGGGAAACAACAGGAACGGCCATCTAGAGCTGGAGATAGGCAGTGCCACAAACTTACACTTGCCTAGAGGGACCTTGAAATAGCATGGGCTCCTCAGGGAGCGCTTCCATTTCCATTTTGACCAACAAGTCAAAAATAGCTACTTCTCAGCAGAGTCACAGATCTCAGCGCAACATTACAGCTCCATATACCAGACACCACTGCAATTTTCAAATGCAGTGGTACTGATAACAGAGGAAAGCAATTAAGTGTTGTACACTTCTTTCTTTATTGAGAAAGGTGTAAGATAGACAACTTGCTGCTATTTGCTTTCTTCCATAAAGAAATACTGTTTTCAGAAAAAAAGTACATTTACACGACTTTCACCTTTACTTCCCGATTACACCGAAAGCTCTCTGCTTATGTGTGGCTAAGATTAGATCACTAATTTGTGCACGAACCACCTTCAGGTCCCAGCTGTAATTCATCCAGCTCCCTGCAGAAGAGATGGGATATAGAAATGCACTAAATATGGCACCTGCAGGACTCATTGCAGACAGCTGCATTTCTGACATTTTTCAAGGGCACTGACTGTGCCTGAAGATAGCAGGATTTAGGAAAGCTGATGAGAGCCTACACACATCCATGCTCTTGGTTCCTTCCACTCACGGCATGGACAACTGAGCCACTTGTGCATCATCTGCTGAACTGCAACAGCTTACAACAAGGCTGTTTTAAAAAAAAACATTAATTTTGGTTTCCATGCTATCAGCCATCCCAAATGTTACCCCACCATCCCCCAGGTTTCCTATATTATCAGTCACGCAAGCCCCAAGTCATCTGTCCCAGTCAGAGCACACACAGCTGAGACACTTCTGAATCACCTGGAAAAGTGCTAGGTGACTGCATGGCTATTTAAAATAAACCACCACCAACTTCAGTCTGTAGGGGGGAAGTGGTGGCAGCTATGCTGCTGGCCAACCCTCACAAAGCCATGTTTTCTCCTGAATCCCTCATTCAAGCACTGGCTCCGCAGTCCTAACAGAGCCCGACCATGGGTGGTCACTCAGCTCATTGCAGACTTCCCCCCTGCAATGTGGCCCTGCTGGGGTCTCACTTCAGCAGCTGGAATATTGCGAGTTCTCTTGACCTAAACCTGAGGAAGCTCTGCTCCGGGACGGGGAGTCAGCCCAGGCGGACAGGGCGAGGACACTGACACTTGGGTATGGTGTCACCAGCGGGACGGGCAGACTCAGGTAGAAGAATAGGGTAAGCAGTGCTGACAGCACTGTGATGATGAAACAAAGCAAACTTTACCCCGCAGTCAATTATAAGGCTTCCAGGATGTAGGAACTTAATGTCGTCTACTGAAACAGCAGGTTATTACTCCTTCCTTGTACACCATGGTGCAGGTACTTTCACTTTTCTTCCTTCTGCATTTCCCACCCAGTCTCCCTTCAGCACATCAGCCCCATCACAGGCAGGAATAATCCATACATGACTGCATCAGTGGATCAAGTTAACCATACACTCAGCAGTGCAGTTTTCAAGCATGCAAAACATGTCATCACATCAGGGCATGTACGTCAGGTACCTCCCCATCTCAGGCTAGAGATAAGTTAAAAGTTAAAATTTAGCACTTCCAGTGGGCAGAATAGCCCCTACCAAACAAATTATGTCCAAAAATCCTTCAGGAGATTGGTCTTGGTTCATTGCATTACAAAATGTTCTACAGTTTCTCAAAGAAAATTTCGCTATATATAGCAAGTACTAAAATTGTGTAGACATTAACAAAGAGATTTATAAAAGCATCTCAGCCTCAGTTCAAAGAAGATTCTGCCATTCTTTACAGGATCATACAGCTGAACCCTCTGCTATACTCCAAGATATAGGCAGGGTAAACCTGATGCTTCTCAAAGATGACAAAGATGGAAGGATCCTCCGGGTCATCCACACAGCTGTCGTAGAGCCTGTTTGCATTCCCAGCTCTGGGTGGAGGGCGAAGGTACTCTGAGTTGCCCTCAACAAAGTCTCCAACAAGAACTCGAGCTACAAACATGCTCTGGTGACCAGTGCGGGATGGGCAGTACTCGTGAGAATAACTGGCGTCTCTGGCAAAGTAGCTTCCTAGGGAGCAGAAAAAGGCACAACTGAGAAAAACACATCGGGCAAAGGAGCAAACGGCTCCTACCGGCACTCTGACAAACAACCATTCAGCAAGCACCTCCTTCTCCTTCCTACCCCACGTAGCTCTAAACACAGCCTTGCCAAGGCTTCCCACATCGCTTGATTTTAAAGCATCAGCAGACGCTGGCCACGTTTCACCATCCCCCTCACAGCCCTACCTGACCTCAAGCTCTCCTTAACAGCAGGTACCTGAGGCAAGGAGTGATGTTTTCAGCCCCGCCAGAAGCACAGCTGCTGCTGACACCCTCCGCAACAGGCGCACACGGACAGGAGCGCGGTGTCGGCCCCAGGCAGTCCCCTCGCAGCGACCCACAGGCCTGGCCGGCGTTGGCAGCCCGCGGCATTGGCAGCCCGCGGCTGCCCCGCAACACGGGCTCCTGCCCTCCTACCTCTTCCATACAGCGTCCCGTGAGCCCCGCACACCCGCCAGTCGAAGTTCTGCTCGCAGATGGCAGCCAGGTGGGACGCGCTCGTGCCGTGGAACAGGAGCCGTTCATCCACCCATCTCCTGTTCTTGACCTTCCTCATCTGCTCCTTTTGCCTAGGGGCAAAAATGAAAGATAAATGACCCTGGTTCATATAAGAACAATTTCCAAATCCTACTACTTTTGGATCACAGAGGAACAGCGACACAAACCACTCTCCGTGGGTTTACTGCATGCTTTGCACTATGTTGCAAAGTACCCTACTGCACAGCTGGCTCCTTCTGGACAACAGAAAGATCTCAGCATCATTACAGACCGTGTTATCCACAAGTTCGTATCTTATTAGAGAATAACAAGACAAACATCTTGACTGTGAATTGGTCAGTTCCCAGGTTATGAAAATCCTGAATGTATAAACATAGTTCATAAAACAAAGTTGTATGAAGTCGTAAGTCATGGGATCCTTTAATATGAATGATTTTATAATCTCTATCCACACTTCTGTCACAAAAGTTCCCAACTTTTAAAAAATCCAATGTGGAAGAGACCAAGAAATAGCAAGAACAAATTTGAAAAACCACAGCTCAGTCATGGTGTCTGAAAACAGGAAGACTCTTTTTGAGTAACATTAGCAAGAACCACACATACAACCTGTTACGTGATGTGCTTAAAGGATTGTCCCTCTGTGCACACAAAGGAGCACAGAGGAACAGTGATGGGGGGACCCCAATAATCTCATCAGGGAAACGAGTCCCTGCCCCAGCCCCTCTCCAGGTTGTCCCAGGGAAGCTATCAGCCTGCAGGCCAGGGGGACATGGCACCCCATAATCCAAGCGGAGATGCTCTTTCAGACTGAGGAGGGTCACCACCTTGGGGTGCAGGACTCTTTATGAGGTGCAGGGGAAGAGCATTTGGGGATTGCACAAGACTTCTTAACGGATGTTATAGGGAAGGACCATCGGGAGCAAAGGGAGGGACCGAGGTGGTTTTAGGGAGGAACAAGCATGGGAAAATAGGGTGGACAAGGGAATACAAGGGGGCAGATGCATGGAAAACATGCTGCTGGTCAGTTCACTTCTCTGACCACGCCCTGCACCTGATCACACCAGTCTGTCTCATCTCCTCCTTAAACTCCACACTTCTAACTACTTTTCTGGGCTGAGGGGGACTCTCTAGTCTGTGTACATGTGTGTGTACAGAGGCCTACATGCCAGCAACTGCAGTGGGATCAGGGGTCATAGGGGCTGCATGTCTGTGGTGCCAGCAGCTGAGTAAGTGACGGTACGTATGTCATCGTGTGATCGCTAGCAACTCTCAAGCCAGGCTAGCCAGTGAGTAGGATAAGGGGCCTGGGAGCCAGGCATCAAAGTGGGGGCCAGATACTGGAGAGACCAGAGGGTCTGAAAGCTGGCTACCAGAGGGACCAGGAGGTCCAGACCAACTCCAGGAGAGACTGTGTGAGGTCTGGGAGTTGGCTGAGAAACCCATTTACATGTGTGACACAGCAGGGAAGACAGAGGGGCCAGGGGCCAGCAGCTGGTTAGATTAAGTGTTTAAGGCTAGCTGCTGCAGGGATCCATGCTGAATACATACATATACATACCTATGTGTATATATATACACATATTTTTTTCCTCAGTAATGGGTCTTTATCCTGATCAGCCAGAGAGGGCAACAGGATGAGGCCATTGGTGCTCTCTGCATTTGCAAGTGCTGTGCTTTCTGTCTATGTTGAACTGTGTGGCCATACACACTAGTATGAACTGTGTTCATATGCATGTGTATATGTACATGTTTTGTATACGTGCCTGCTGGAAACACAGGCTCAGCCACGCTACTGGGTAGACCTGGGGCCATGGAGCTGACACAGCCTCACCTGTATCAGGCCACCCGATTCAGCAATCCCTAACACAGCCTGTGGAGCAGAATACATCAGTAACCACCAGGGCTTTGCGCCCATCAGAATAACAAAATAAAAGGGATACAAACCACTGAAAAACTTGCCAAAGCGCTGGGTTCTGGATCCTCTGCAGTCTGCGGATGCTATAATCTTTCATTGTCCTCTCAAAGAGCCTCTCAATTTTTCTATATTCACTGGAAGTGCAGCTGAGCTCTACCAACTGAAATTTTTAAATATACAAAAAATAAAATGTCAAAGGTTTTCCTGTACTAGCTCCCATCAGTCCTTCCAAAGGATTCATTAACCTCATCCCATTAGAGGAAAAGCCCTGACATCACATTCACAAGTTTTTCCTGTCTGTATCAGTTAACCAGCATCTCCCCTCCTTCAGTCCCAGATACTGAGGGCTGGCTGCACAAGGAAACGAATGCTTCGCCACACTTGCTTCCTTTGGTGGACACACTTCTGCACCTAGACTACTCTGATACTTCAGAGTAACCTAGATCAGAAACGCACAACAGTATTCAGGGTGGAGAACAGTGGATATCTGCTTCACTTAAATTTGACACCCTAGCTCCTCCTGAGTTAGCTTCACTGCAGGAATTTTTACTACAACAAATAACATTTTGCTTTAAATAGACTGAGAAAATACTTTGAACCTCATTTAATGCGCAATTCATCCAGTTTATGAGAGGATCAGGTGCCTTGGAAGAATGCAAAAGAGAGGTGAAACCAGCAATGGCTAAAAGGCCATCCTTATCCCTGTGTGGTATATGCAGGTGGTCTCAGAAAGTCTCCCAGGAGACACAGGCCTATTCTGAATGTGAAACTGTTCATCCTTATTTCTTTCCAGAGCTCTGTATTTTATAAGACAGGTTTAAAAGCTGGGCATATCTCAAGGGCCTTAGTCTTTGGAGCTGAGCATCATGTTTTATAAAGTTTACTTCTCAGAAGAAATGGTACAGGATGCAGTTCATCCTACATGTTGGAGAGGTAAAAAGATGTACCTTGTACCCTATATCAGGCAGTGCAGATTGGTCCCATTCTGGAGGATAGACAGAACACGTCAGAGCTGTGTATAACTGGCTGTAAGAAATAAAAGCAGCAAGTCAGTCCCTGATACTTCTAATCAAAGCCTCCTACCAGAGAACCTAGATGGCTCTACGGCAGCTCTCGGGCATCTCCGGGCTTTTTATACTCCACGTAACAGTTCTCCTTGCCTCCAATTAGGTTTTCATGAATATCCTAGTGGCACTAATGTGTTTCTTGCCAGGTCAAGACACTAGTAAGAGAGTTTCAGTCAAGAAGCAACACAGGCTTGCAGCCGGACGGTTTAAACAACTGATCCCAGACAACCTCCATGCTAGCTGTTTGAACCGCTAGGAAACTGGAAGGTAAGCCCTGCCCCTCCATCTCCCTCATCTTTAAATAGCTGGTCAGAACCATGGCCTCCCAGACCAGCCAGTCAGATAGACTTACAGGAAGCTTTGCACGGACAACTGTGCCTCCAGGTGCTGCTCCATCAGTCACCATGTGCTTAACAACTTCCAGCACGAGTCCTTTAGAGCCCTCGTGGCATGAATGTTTTGCCCCAAACTATAGCAGTGTTAGCATCCATACAGAGGCTTGAGTTTGTTTTTTCTTTAAATCAGCTAAACAGTTGGCTTCAAACATCCTGTCTGCTGGTGAGTTTCTGAAGCCTTCTTGAGCAGTAGCAAAAGAAAGCAGTAGCACAATTAGCTGTTACAGCAGGTACGCTCAGTTCTGTCAAGCCGAACTTCCTTTAAAAAGCAATATGACAAGAGTATCCCAGATAAATGCATCTAGTTCATTTTATTTAGGGGAATTTGCTTCTGCACTTTATTTTAGTCTCTGCTTTCTGAGGGATGGCATCAACTGCTCCACAGTTCTTGGGACAGGCAGTCCCTTGCTTCTACTCCTTGCATCATTTAGCACTGTTAGGGCATAAATCAAGGGCCAAAAATTCCCCTCGGTTCACCCCTATGTGACCTTGCTCTTGCAGAGGGAACAAATCTACTCTAGGGGTCTCCCATGGCTGCCAAAAAATGCTGCAAAACATCCCCCAAGCACATTTTACAGCGTCATCGCAATAACTTACAAATACTATCGCAGCAAAACTTGACTTTAAGTCAGTCAGCAAAAGGTGTCTAAAAATGAATTTTAGAAAACTGAAAAAGAATTCTAACGAGGTAGGATAAACTTCTCGGCAGAAAGGCACTCTCATCTAGAGACATTATTAAGTAATTAACATATGGTACCTTCTCTCTTGCTCACTTCCAGAGGACAGAAATCTTGGCAATCGGATAACTTTTCTTCGAGTTTCATAGATCAAATTTCTTTGGACCATGTCTTGAAAGAAAAACATGATGACTCAATAATTAGGCAATTTATTGTCAGGGACACATTTCTGTGTGTTAAGGAGAAAAAAAAAAAAAAAAGACGAAAAAGGGAGGTAGCCCTGAATACTGAAAGGTAATGTTCTTTCTACTACTTTTACCCTACCCCATGCTTCATAGTTTGAGGTAACTTCCACTTGTGCTGTGTCTGCTTGGAGATCAGCAAGGTCCAATTGGAAGCTCACAGGATGTTTCCTTTTGTCCTGCTGCCTTTACCTTGGAGGAGATGGGGATGACTGCTCGCACAGCTTGTGAAGGCAACACCCTAATTACTCCTGCACATGGCCCAGAGTTTAGCTCCAGGAGCTGCTATTCACATCCAGGCTGTTGGCCAGAGAAAACTATATCTGATGTCTGAACTGCAGCAGGAAGAAGTGTTTTTGATAGGACAGAGGTCATAAATCTATCTTTCCTGGCAGTACAGGATTGTCACTTGGTGCAAAAAGGCAGTCCTCTCTTTCTGGTCCTGTAACAATATCACAGAGCACACGCTGCGTGACATGGCTAGTTCTCCACTGTTTCCTGTTTTAAATACCACTCTCTTCATTCATACCAGGAAACAGATCTAAACTTTGGAAACTGAAAATAAATTTTAGGATGGTTAAATAAATTATGAATAAATTAGGAACAGAAAAGCATTTCTCAATTTCCCCTTCCTAATCTGTGGAATCAACCCTTACTTTTACCTTTGCTGTACTACGTGCTTTCTCTCCCCATAACTAGCCTGCAAGAATGTCTCCAGGCTCACTTCTTCACCATTTGACATTTCAGTTATTTTATTTTTTTCTTTCTCCTTTTTGCTTGTATAAGCCCTGATGCATAAGCCAGATGCCGTGAAGAGTTTACTCGCTGGTCTTGTTCTGAATATACAGCATTGCCAAAGACGCTTTTTTGATTATAGATGGACAAGTCTAGAAGTCTGAGCAGGGCATGTCAAAACTGCAGAAAAATGCACATAATTTGCATGTTCTGCTCAGACAACACTTACAGAAGGAAAAAGACATGTTCAAAGAAATCCAGATGTAGGGTGACAATTGTGCGCATGAAGGATGCTACCTTACAGCCAGCTACACTGTGTAATGAACTTTTAAAAGAGATACTTCACCTTCAAAGTTTATCTCGTACTGCTGAGAACCAGCCCTGAATAACAGAGTGCCTTTCCGATTAGCTAAAAATGCCTTCTCCAGATCTGCAGATGTTACAGTGGCAGAGCAATGATCCGGATGCTATAAAAAGAACGAATAAATTATACCTGTTAGAAACTGACCTTTGGCTGAGGTGACACTGCAGACATGTATCAGTGTTTCATCCATAACCTATTCCCTTTTCTTTAGATGACTTTGTTAAACAAAGTTTCTGCAGGAAGTGCAACTACTCAATATAATGCCAAAAGTACCAAAGATATCCAAGTTTATTAGTTTATTCAAAAACTTTGCCACCATCCCTCACTGTTCTCTAGGGATACTATAACTCCTGTAGGGCACCACTTCATCCTTCTTAATGGGGGACACAACATAACATAGGCGCCTCCATGGGAGATGTGATAAAGTTGGGCGGACAGCCACACCAACAGGAGAGAATAGGGGTATGAAGGCCCCAGGTCAATAATGGGATGCCATTTTGAGCTCATCTCTAAGATTTCAGTCATTTTGCTCTTCAGGGTCATGGGGGTATCCACCACAGAGAACAGCTGCTAGTAGCAATGGCAAAAGTGTTCAGTCCATGTGGTCAGCTTCAGTTAAAAGACTTTAGTCATCTCTGGAAAAATACATCAGTTTTCAAAGGTAGTCATCTGAAAGCTTACATAGAGTATTAGCACTGCTTTGAGGGACTGTTAATAAGACAATTCCACCAGGGCATCAGAAGAGCATTGCAAGGACACCCATGATTTAAGTAAAAGATACCAACTGTAAAACAATGTGCCCTAAATAGCTCACCAATGATGGCTAAATGAGAGCTTTTGGCATCAGCACAACAGATCTTACCTGTTGGCCATACTCAATCCACTGCCCAAAATCGTCATGCCAATACCAGGCGTACGCCATTCTGAGGGTAGACAGGCGAGTCTAAAGATATCACTGTGGCAGAAGTGCTGATCAGCTCCTGGCTGCTTCAACCCTAATACTGAGAGAGAAATCCAGACTCAGTACTGGTGTTTTCCACAGTTGTCAGGCTGTTTGCTATCCCTGGTGAGGTCAGACCTCAAATCACTTCCCAGAAAAGGAGTGCCTTCTGGTTTGTGATTAGCATTCAGCTGTGACCAGCTCTGCGGTTTGGACCCTGGCCATTGTTTTTCTCTAAAACATATTTTTCGAAGAAAATTTAACTGGCACAGTGAACCCAGCTTGTTATACAAAAGCCAAAGGTGCCGTTCACCTAACAGCAGGAAGACTCGGCTTTTACATGATACATGCTCGGCCGCAGGAATCAGAGTGCTTTCAGAAGGCACTGACAGCGTCACCCCTCTCTGACTGATCTCTGGAGAGCAAAGCAGCTGCTCACAGTTACTCAGCAAGCCTTTAGCAGAGTGGGGAACAAATCACTTACCAGCCAAGTCCAAGCCCAAACCCTGTGCTCTGCCTCCCAAGACACATCACCTCCAAAGACAAGAGGCAGAAACAAGTAGGCGCCAATGATGCACATTCAGAGGATTTTGCTTTGCTTGTTATCGTGCTATTTCCTCCCTTGATCGTCCCATTTTCGGACCCCAACCCAGCCAATATTTTTCTATGCATCTCGTCAGGCCGCTGCTCCTGCAACTTCACCTTATTGTGGGGCGCATACAGGGTGTGGAGACCTGCCCTCCTGCCTGTAGCGCGAGTTTGCAAGGGTCTACCGAGTTTGCAAGGGTCTACCGCTGAGCTATCCAGAGCTGCCCGACCACTTTATTCAAATGCAAACTGGAAATGATCATTCATTTATCTGGCTTTGACACCCCACGGTGCTTTGGTAGGTCTCATCCATATTCAGCAGGGTAATCAGGGGGAGTAGGTAAGCATAACAGGAGGTGTTCCCGTTTAGGGGTTGTTACGGTACAAAGGTTCACAAACACAAAGGCCTGGCAGCCCGCCTGGGTTTCAGGAATCAGTAACGAGGGACCGGATTTCCTTGGCAGCCTCTTAGCTAGCTCCATCTCCTTCTTCCAGGCTGCCCTTGCTCTTTGTGCACAGTAACACCCGTCAGGCCCATTCCTAGAAAAATGCTCCCAATTCACTTTCTTTCAAATCTCATTGCAGGAGTGTCACAAGATCCAAGTTTCCCAGTTTTTTTTTTTTTTTTTTTGCCTTCTGCCCCCCTTTTTTTTTTTTCTCTGTCACATGAAGCTTCCAGGCAGCTTTTCTCCCCAGTTCCTCCATCCCTGTTCCCACCCTCCCCGCCCCATAGATCCACGCTAAATCCCTGCCCGAGACCTACCGCTCCCTGGCTGCGCTAATCCCGTTTGCTTTCCAAAACCGTGAAGTAAGCGCCGCTTTCACTTTCGCTTGCTAGCCCTTCTGCTTTCCCCAGGGTTTTTTTCCACTCACCACCTAACTCCAAGCAAAAGGAAACAGAGGTGAAGCACTTAATAAAGCAGACAGACATACTTCCCTGGTGGGACAGGTAGTGTCCTTCACCCGTTAGTAAAGAGTCCCCATGCGGTCCTGCGCACCCGAAAGCTCTCCTGTAAATTTGCCCTTCATTTCTCCGCGCTGACATACGCCAAAAGCCCCCTTTTTTTTTTTCTTTCCCCTAATCCGCCACTTCACGTGGAGGAAGTCAAGTGAGACTTAAGGACGAGAGAAACGCAGCTTACGGTACTGCTGGCTGCAAGCAGGTGTCCTCCCAGCAGACCTTAACGCCAAGTCCACAAACTCTTTACTTCCTTTTCCCCGCCTCGCTGCCCTGCCTCCCCTCCCAGCTCAACCTGCCCGAGGGACGGGCGCCAGAGCCCGCCGCCCCCGCCTCCGATGAGCCCTCTCAACCCTTGCTCCACGTGCAAAAGGTCTTCTTCCTCCCTCCCTCCCTCCGCCCACCCCGGCCCGTTGTACGCTGCACCCTTTGGAAATAAAACGTGAGCCAGCCTTGTCAGAGCTTCACCTGACCTCCTCCGTGACACAAGTCTGTGTGTGTGGTGTTCTCTCTTGCGGAAGCATCTCTTCTGCCAGGCGTCCTGGATGCCTTTCCGCTAGCCACCTAGGCTAACAAAGGCTAAATAACGTTTCCTTCTGGCTACTGTCACCGGCGCTCGTGCACCTGCCGGATGCGAGCAGCAAGGACAGGCAGGGCTGACAGCTTAGGCAGATACATCCGTCAAATCAACCTTCCTGTGAACCAGCAGACTTTATCCCCATCACTTGATTTCTGCCATTGTGCATCAACAGTCACCTTTGCACCGATTCCTCCCATCTTTCAAGTGGATGGGAAAATCACAGACCTTTTCCTTTCGAGATTCCTACCAGGAGTGTTTTCTGCTAAACTGCATTCTTTTGAAGTCAAAATCTACTATGTCCTAGCAAAGTGAACCCTTAACCTCTATGCAGAAAGTGGATGCATGCTTCACATGTGCTCTTTATGTTGGCTTTTGCTTTTTTGATGGGGTTTGGCAGTCTGCAGCACAGCACAGAGTGACCCAAACCAGCTGAAAGCCATCTAACTGCAGAGCTCTGCAGGGCAGGGAAATTTAGCCCAGATAAAGCCCTGTGGTATCGTGAGTATTTTTATTCCTTTACCTTGAAATCTGAGCCTCCTCTCCTTTTTTTCGGACTGAAAACGAGAGGTGAGGAGCTTTCCCAGTCTGATCTCTCGCCTTTGAGTTCAAGAGGCTGGCAGGCTCCTGGTAGAGCTCTGAGGCATAAGCTCAGTGACATGTCAAGCAGTATTAACCACATAAACCCGTTCAGATGCACAAACCTGTTCAGATTTTTTTTTTTTCTTTCATAATATGTGCAGTTGAATTGGCCGGAACAGTTTTATTTCCTGATGATCTAGTCAGATCAGCCCTATCTGAGTTTCTGGAAGGGAGGCCTTCTGAGCGCGCTTTGTAGACACAGCATAAAAAAACCCACAGGCGTGATTTATGAGGTTGGACTTTCTATTTCTTCCCCGTCTGCCCTCTTTTGACTGGCTTTTGACCGCTCATATAGTAGCTGGCTCTTGTCACCACAGTTGCCCAACTTTTATAATTCTCTTTGACTGATGAGATTTGTAGAATCAGATCCTGCAGGTTTATTTTTTGCATACGTGAACTCTCTAGTGAAAAACTCTTCTGATCTGAAGCAAAGAGCATCAGGATATACAAGGTAGCAGCTCTAGGAAAAAACACTCTGGCCTGGTCGAAACGTTTAGGTAGCTTTGCTGGGAACAACACACCATCCTCCCTACAAACACACAAGTTGCCACCAACTGGAGGCTGAATTCCCTGTAAGCTGATACTCACCTTCTGATCATATTTTTTATTTTTATCACTTTTAACTGTATCAAGAAGTGTGGAGAAGGCTTCTGCTGACCCTCTGATTTTATAACAGAGGTACTATGGCTGTCTGCATTTCCAGTGTCTGGAAAGACTTTGAACACGTATCCTGTATGTGCAAGATCATTTTACTTGCACAGTCAGCAAAGGCACTGGAGTGTGGTTTCCCTGCATTTATCAAACGATTTATCATGTATAAACAAATCGTGATCCAGGAAGCAGGATTACTTGCTTTTCCCCACAAATTTCAGGCCCCTTCCCTTTTTTTCCTCAGAGGAGAGAAACGAACAAAAAAGCCGTGTTTCACCCTCTCCGTACGGGTTTCTGCAGACATACAGCAGCTCTGTTGTAACTTAGGACCACTCCAAGGTTTGATGTGTGAGTACTGAGGCAAAGCGTGCTCCCACAGCCCGGGACCAAGCAGACAGCGTCTCATGCCTCTACTTTGAGATGCAAAAAAATCACAAACCCAGTATCTGGCAACGGATACTGGCAACAGGGTTGCCTCAGGCTGCATTTAGACTATGGGGCTCTCCTGCTCAGTATCGTTTTCTGCACTTTTGTTCCCCAGCCACCCAGATCAGGGTGCTCAGAAAGGTGTGCAAAGCCGGTTCCTGCACTCCCTGCTGCACAGCTGACCCGTACCTGGGAATCTGGAAACATCACTAAATTTATCAGCTTAGTCTCACCTCAGACCACACTCTCTTTTGAAGCCCGTATCTTCTTCTGTAAGTTGTGATGGTTTTCCTAGATAGCATGGATGTCCTGTTGGACAACATCCAGCAGCTTGTATGTAAAATAATCTGCAGGGGAAAAAAGAAAAACAAAAAACAAAAAAACCCAAGTCCTGCCACTATGACACTGCTCCCTCAGCTCGAGTTAGCACAAGAATGGGAAGAAGGCGTAACAAGAATAATAATTCTCAATTGCTTTGGAAAACCCTTATTTATTTCCAAATCTTAACAGTGCAGTTCACAAGTTTAGGTAGATTACAGTGGTTTTATAAATGCTACTCTGGTTTTACTCCAAGTACCTAAATGCTTGATACAAAATATTTAAAATGCTTCATAGTCTGCTCTTCCTTTCTCCAAAGGCTGCTAGACAAGTTTCAATATACTAGTTCTGGTCTTTTAGAAAGAAGATTAACATGTAAGTGATTGTAAATAGCTAATTACTGTATCTTGACATAACTTTGCAACATTAATAATGTAAGTCAAAGTCATTCAAAAACAGAAACCTTTCTTTTGTCAATAGTTCAAATGAGCATCTACACACTCATTCAGGAAATCATTTGCCCACAGATTTAAAGTTAAAGCTCATGCATGAGGTCTTTCATGCCTTCTTACCACACGAAAGGTGCACTTATTAAGGAAGTCCAATGCCCAAATTTCTCGGAAGATTTTGCCTAATTAAAAGAAAACTGTATGTCACTGGAGCTGGACTAAAACCTAAGATTTCAGTTTCACTGGTGGTATCACAGTTTGGCTGGGGAAGAAGGGAAGAACCTATTTTGTCACGTTCTTGCAGGGGTTTAGCCGCTTGTTTTTAATTTTTAAATAAGTGTTGGTACATTTTGAAATGTCATTTCAGAACAACACGAAACTATTTTTCAAATGAAAATAAACCTACTTTGTTGACACAATGATCAAAGTAAAACATTCTAATCTTACTTTATTAATGATTTGAATTCCAAATGATTTCCAGATATTTTTTTCATTAGCCTGAATCTGCATTTTCTGGTAAATGAAATTTTATTCCCTGCACTCCTCCTTTCCAAATAATTTACCTTATTTATAATTTTCTCTCCTCATGCTCACTTCCCTTTATAATGCTTGTCCACAGCACCATCTCGAATGACTACTACAATGTTTCTGCTTGAAACCTGCATCTGATTTTCCTGTATTTGACCTCCTTGAATTCTGCAACAGGCTCTCTTCCTCTATTTACCAGGTCTGAAAATTTAAAAAAAAAATATACCTTTCACTGAGGACTGGGCTAAGCTGCAAAGTTAGGATCTTGTTTTTAAATATACTCTGCAGGGAGAGAAAGGTTATTTCAGGGAACTAGATGGATTCACTTAAAAAAAAAAAAAAAAAAAAAAGGGACATAAAAGCAGATGTGGCACACTCCTCCAGATCCCAAGTGGCAAGCTTAACAACACTTGCAGCAAGGTTTTGGTTCAGGATCATCTTCATTTGCAGTGATTAAAAGACTAAGAGCATGACCTGCCTTTGGTAGGATCAAAGGTATCAGAAATGGGGTAAGTAGATTTTATCTTCTGTGATGCTTATCTTCTGTGATGGTTTCCTCAGTAAGTCTTAATTTCTTGTTGGACTACTTCCAGTAGTATCTGCAGTTTGTGTGTGAGATAATCTGAAGGGAGAGAAAAGGAAGAAAGTTTAATCTGGGGTTTATCTTGAGCTACGGCTGAAAATCAGTGCATCAGCTCTGATGGATGGAGCTTTTTATGTTACCAAATCACTGTATCTGTTTCTCTTCTTGCTGTATGTTTTCTTCTGTTCTCTGGTTCCTGACAGGCCTCAGCCCAATATCAAATTGAAAGAAGTCAAAATTCGCATTTGAAATTATAAATTATAACTAAACTTTTATTTAAGAGTAAATGATTGCACTTATGCCAGCAGGGATGCATCTAAAGTAATGCTAGATATTGCACGGGGAGGAAACGTATCTCATTTACACACCTGCTTCTGTGCCCAGATTCATACCGTTAAGAAAAAAAAAAAAGAAAGAAAAAGAAAAGAAAAATCAGGATGCCTCATATAGACAGAGGCATATAGACCAGATAGACAGCTGGCTGGCTGCGTCATCTTTTCCTACCAGTCCTTTCCCTGACCTTTCAGTAAATGTATTTGTGCATGGGATTACAGACTCTGTCTATCAGTCTCTCCACAGTAAATTTTGATCTCGCTGTTCAACCTCAACTAAATTTGACGGAGAGGTGGTAACCCTGAAGACATGGTAAAGTTTAGGGAAAACCAGGGCTGGGCAGTGAAAGCAAACCTCCCCGCTCCCCTCATTGGTAGATCTCAGCCCTACCTTTTCTAAAATAGAACAGCAGAGTGGCTGATGCATGTATTCACAACCAGGACGCCAGCCCATGCGCACAGGCGGGACCTCCAGCCACCCACCGCACAGCTCTACTGCCCGTCCCCTCAGCCACGGAGGCTGTATCACGGGAACGGCTTCGTAGGGGTAGTGGGATTCATGATTTAGATTCCACTAGGTCTGTTGCCGAGGGAACAATTCATTTCGGAGACGGGCACTGGAAACAAACCAACATCCCTACCTGAAAGGCAAACGCATACTTACAAAACAGGCTACGGCAACGATCCGACGTATGCCTGTGGACTGTGAGGTAGTAGACCGGAAAACCACTTAAAACTATGGTGCATCCAATACTAATGTTTACAGGGTCTGAGTAGAAAGACATTCCCACTGTGAAGAGGCAGATGATGGTGAAAGAGACAGGAATGAACAGGGGAACCTAGGGAAAAGAGCACAGATGACTCTCAGGAAAAACTGACTGCTGTAGCAAATTGGCATTCATATGTGCCAGCATACACTATTCACTTGTCAGTCTTAAAGAGGATAATAAAAATTCTATCTCTGCATGCTATTTCTGTACAATCAATTGCCAAAAAGTAGGATGCATAGAACGACATTTACTTGTACCACCCTTGGGAGGGCAGCCCAGCATGCGCTTCTCAATAAGGTGCACACCCCTCTCAATTTTCTCGGAAGATAAACCTCACCTCGCTCACAGTGAGGCATGAGCAGGAGGAGGAAGTCTACCATATCCCCACTGCTCTCTGAAGGTATTGCACCCGCGTGCATATACATGTACCAACTTGCCATTTGTGACAATTGCTGGTGGAAAGACCGAAAAAAAGAGAGTAGAACAAGCCCTTTGAAACCAACCATTGTTTAGTTATAATGTTAAAGACTCATTTTGATCAATTTCCCTCTTGCCTGGGACTTATAGTGGCCAAAACAAGATAAATCAGGCTCTCTACCTCCATAGCTCCAGCTTTGGGAGTATGATTTTCAACCCTAAAGAAAGACCAAAGCAGCAGTCAGCACCTCAGCCTCAGTGCTATTGGATGATCCAATTCATCTGGGTTATCTGAAGAGCCAATTGGAATAAATAATAATGAACAATAAAACTGTGAAACATTTCCTTAGTCTGTGGATCCAATCTCAGCCAAGTCACTTCTTCACCATAACTCATAGAATAAAGGAGATCCTGATCACACCTTGGATGACAATCTCTTTTTAACAGAGATCGTATTTCAGATGCTAACCATGCGGAGTTGGAAAAGGCTGATTGCTCAAGCCATGGCTGCTATCCAGCTATCAGGCTGGCGTGCTCTTGCTGCACTCTTTTCAGTAGAGGTCCTCAGCACGA